TGAAATTACCTCAATAATAGTAGGAATATCACGACCGGACATAAAAAGGGCATGCGATATCACGCCCAATACTGGAGAAGAATGAGACATTTGCCGATAACATATTTCTGATAATTAGTTGCTCGACATATTTCCCTATACAAAATTTCCAAAATTACGGAGCCCCAATTGAGTGCGCCGACAACGTGAAAATCTACGAGGTAACGCAACCACATACAATGAACTTGGTTGCACGATTTGTCGGGCACTAGTATCTCTCCTATGAGTTGTAATATGCAAGCACATGCATACATTTTAACCTGTTCCTCAGAGGCGTCGCGACTCAAATATTTAAAAGTTGTATCCAACCAATTTAACAATATTCTACCACCATTGAAATTAGGCATGACACCTCCAAGATACTCTTCGCACAAGGAATGTCATTCACCATCTGCCTCCCTAGAAATCACATCCCCATCTACAGGAAGCCCCAAATGTATGGAAACATCCTCCAGCGTAATAATGCACTATGCACACGGAAGATGGAATATGTGTGTCTATGGTCTTCACCTCTCAACCAGTGCAGAAATAAGGTTGGGTTCAAGGTTACAGTGCCCTTATATTTCGCTACGTAACTGAATCCAGCCTTGGCTAAATACGGCTAGACATGACTAGGTATATCTAACTTAACGTTAAGTATGAATGTATCTAATATATAGTCTCCCTCTTAAATTAATAAATAACATACATATTAAAATATAAACTAATACTATAAAATTAAATAAATAAAACATTTACAATAATTAAAATAACAACACAATTTAAAATTATTACCGTATTAGCAAAATGTCTCGAGATACGATTCCTATCTAAACGTAACAATCCGACTTTCGTTTTATAACTATAAAAAATAATAAAAAATAGTACAATAAAATTTAATAAAATAATAAATTATTAAATAACTATAATATAATAAAAATATTTTACCTTTTTAATAGAAAAATTGATAATATGAATAATGAGAGAATTTGAGATTTGAGTGTGGTTTGAGAGATGTGTTGAGTGTGGAATTTATAAGGAAAGGGGAGGGGACAGGTGATAATCAATGTGGGAGACGGACGGTTTGGTTGAATTAAATGATGCACGTGTCAGACGTTCAGCGAAGGCGCGGATGACCATCCGTGCCTTTCCTTATGTGACGTAAACTCAGACAGAACCCCGCGAAGGTGCGACTGATGATTAGCGCTTTATTGTCACTGTGTCAGAAATGGTGCTATATTAGGAGAGAGGGTACCTTGCAGGTAATTATTGAGTCTAAGGGTAATTTTTCGGTAGAAACACCCAAATTCTATCTATTTGATGTAATTCTCTTTCATTTTATTTATTCATTTTTATTTGCAAATTGGTTTCATAATTCAATTGCTTATTTAATGAGATTTTTCTTTTAAAAACGATTTTAATGAGAAATTTCAGTCTTAGGGCATCCTTCAAAAGTTCTTTTAAAAAAAATAATGTGAAAAATTATTTGAAAAAATAAATCAAAAGTCATGCTAATAAAAATTATCGTCAATAGATATGATTTTAGATAAACCAAAATATTAAAATTGCTGTTAGTTGCTGATGTTTATTTTTGTGTCATGTTTGAATTAATACATATTTACGATAGATATCACGCGATATATCTTTTTAGGTAATGTTCATTAAAATTCATTAATGAATTTACATATTCGGTCCCTCTCTCTTTTCATTTTTATCATTCTTATGCATGAGACACCAAAGTCATCAACAATTGCTCTCAATTTTATCCAAGTCGCCAATAAATAGTTCATGAGTTTGACATTTCAAAAGAAAAAAAGAAAAAGAAGAAGCTCTAATTATTATAATACACGATGATTATACTTAAAATTAATATCAATCTATCAGATGAATGATAATTTTATCGTTATTACAACTTTTGGTTTATTTTTTAAAATAATTTTAAAGTTAATTTGAAATGCTTTTTTAATTTTAAAAGAATAGTATTTCTCTTAAAAAGCAGTCAAAAGGAGTTATCAATTGGATTAGGTTAAAAAATGATGGAAAGCATCATAAAAAGTTTGAAGTGCTTTTTCGCAGAAAAACAATTGCCTAACCGCGGCCAAACTGTGTTTTAGCTTTGACCCCCAAACGCTCGAAGCCTCAGGTAGACTCGTCACGTTTTCATCCTTCTTTTTTATGGGTTTTTCATTAAAATTGATATACTTTGATTTAATTTGATTTGATAAAATTAGATTTTTTTTAAAAAAAATGGATTTAGATCAGGTCGAATCAAATATTTTAAGAGATTGAGATCCAGTATGGTCAATTTCGAGTGGAGGGTAAAAAAATTCTGACCCGATCTAATGATAATAATGTAATTTTTTTATATAAGGTCGAATTTATATTCTAAAAAGTCGGATCGATCATATCAAATGAAAAATATATAATTTTCGAATCGAAATAAATTCATATGAAAGAAACATATTTTTGAGTCGGATCGATTTAAACAAAATCTCAACACAAGTTCTCTTAATTGTTGCAATCACGTAGATGTATAGAATTTAATCAGCAAAACATACACTAAATAGTTTTAAGAAAACACAAAACCCCTAACCACATATTGCACGATCAAAAGTTCAACACTCACGACGTTTATTTATCAAATATCTCAGACTAATCACACAATAATTTATATTTATATAAATCCTAATACATTAATAATTCGTGTATACATTCATTTATAGCTTATTTTAATTAATCTTCATAATGCATTCTAATTATTAGGAATGTGTTGTCTAATACTAGTGGGTCATATTAAGAAAATATCAAGTGGGCTTCACTTTAAACACAAATAATATATGATTAATAGAATTACAAATTTGCCACTAAAAAGTAAGATCTTATATATTTTAGGCTTAAATATAAAATACATGCTCAGACAATAGCTTTTTTTTCATAAATATGTGTCTAAATTATATTTTTAATATAAAAAAGTGTTTAAAGATAACATGTTATCATTTTAGGTGTGTGCGCCATTAACGATCATAAATGACATGTGTCACAATATGGTGATTTTAAAATTTAATTTTTAAAAAATTAAAATTTTTATTGTATTCATAAAAAGTCATAATTTCTCTTAAATTACAAAAAATCCTCAAATCCTAACCCCTAACTCACCGTCGCCACCATTTTCGACCACGACCACGGCCGACGATGTAGTCCCTATCATCCTCCTAGTCATACGTTGTCGTAGTTGTCGCCGATTATCTGTCGGAATCACGTGGGATCACAATTTTCATCCTAGGGTTCACGGGTATAAAACGTCGATTCCCCGTCGATCAACTGTCAATCGGTCACTATTTCATAGAGGTTTTAGTCACCAGGAGAGGTGAGGTCAAGTGGACCTTCGTCGACGTCAAAAGGTGACGTTTAACATGAGTTTAGGGGTTTAAATGACGATTTTCAAAGTTTTGAAGTTATTTCAAAATTTTCGTGTTTTTAAAATATAATTTTATTTTTTATTTTAAATAAAATTTTAAAATTAATGAATTGTGACACGTGTCTCTTAAGAAGAAATTAAACCTTAAACCCCAAGCACTTAAAGTGATAACGTTTGTAACGTTGGACACCGAGATCATTCAAAAAATAGTTTAGGCACATATTCGTGAAAAGCGATATAGTTTAGGCACTTATTTTATAATTAAGCCTATTTTATAAATATAAATCGCTTCACTGGTAAAAATTAATGTCGATCTTACTAGAGATCTTGGGTTCGAGCAACAATGTTTGCATGGTGTAAGTCAATATTGTTAAGAAAGTTCTGAACAAATATTAGTTACTTGAGATCATGTGAGAAAAAGGTGGAAAAACTCATTCAATAAACTCAAATAAAATATAGATACAAGCATATCTAATTGCAAATATGAGCCAAGTATCATGAAAAAGTGTCTACAAACACAAATTGCTTATCTAAATCTAATATGAAAATCCAAAGCTTGAAAGATCAATATGATAATAAATAAGTATTATCTTAATCAATCGTGACAATGTTAAATACAATCTTAAAAAATAATTTTTCTATAATCTATATAATTATACGGTTTGATTTAAATTTGAAATATAATCAGAATTCGTGTAGTTCTGAAATACCATAGATCTATGAAGAAGAAGAAATAGTCAAATGAGAGTTGGTCCATTATTATATGGATGATTGATAACTAATTATAAAAATATATCAATATCATTCGATCACTTTCTTTTATGATGTTAATATAATAAGTCACCCTTTTAAGAAGAATATGTCAAATAACCATTAAATATGATCACGACCCTTAACCAAATCATTAATTATATTCTTGCATTACTTTAATTAAGTCATTCCAAATAATTGTTTATTCATCTCTTTTATATAAAGCTGGGTTAGGTAAAGATAAAATAGTTAAATATCAGTTTTTAAAAAATATATTAAATTTTAAAAATTAAAAAAATATTTTCATGTATTAGATAAAAAAAAATTAAATGATGATATTGCATGTTTTGACTGATCACTGCTTTGTTTTTTTTAGTAAATTGCGTATTGAACAAAGTTTTCTAAAAAATAAAAAAATGTCACACCAGTAATTTTATTTTTAGTGAAGGTGATCAAAACATAACAAAAAATTAAGTTTAGTAATAATTAAAAAAAAATTAAGTAATCAGAACGAATTGTGAGAACAGTCGGGGTACTAAATGTGTCTTTTAACTTTATTTTTAATAGAATTAACGATATAATAAAAATAAAATATTAATTTAAACTTTAAAAGATAAAATATCTTAAAAAATATTTTAAAATGTAATTCGATATAAAGTGCATAGTTTAAATTAATATGGTGCATTTAAGTCATAAAAGAAAGCCCAAAGCTTTCAATTTTTTTTTTGAAACCATAAGAAATAAATAAGCCCAGTAAGGCCCAAGTAATATCTCTACTTAAAAACCCTTTGCTTCTTATCAATTTAGGGTTTTTGAGAGAAGCCGCCGTTGTAGTCTCAGAATAAGAAACAGGCAATGGGTAACTGATCAAAAGCCTTTAATTTGTTTGCATTTGTTAATTTTGAGGAATCTGAACATGGTTATTTCCTGTTTCCTGTTTATAAATATACAATTTAAAAAAAAACAGCGAGGATTAAGGTCCATGAGTTGAGGCAGAAATCGAAGACCGATCTTTTGGCTCAGTTGAAAGATCTCAAAGCAGAACTTGCTCTTCTTCGCGTTGCCAAGGTTACCGGCGGTGCACCTAACAAGCTTTCGAAGATGTAAGTCTATTCCTCTCTCATTTTTGTATTTTTTTTACGTTTTAGTTCTGGAACTTAAGTTTATCTTCTAATTGTGTATATAATCTGGAATTTGATTTTTTGGTGATGTGAGAAAAGAAAGTAGTGAAACTGAACTTGAAATGGTTTGATGGACACAAGGTCTGAGCCAGGATTAGACAATAGGAAGGGCTAAATCGTTTAAATTTAAAGTTAATAAGAACCTAATAAGTTTTAATCCAAAATTTGGGAGTGTAAAAGATTAATTTGAACTTTATTTAAATTAGAAGTGGTTACAATTGTCATTAGACAAAAAATTGGGGAATTTCAAAGTTACTAGGGGCCTAGAATTATTTAATCCGAAATTTGGGGGCCAATGATTAATTTGACTAGTATAACTAACATAGACTAAAATAATAGCTTCGTCCCTGGATAGACATGTAACATGTTTTCAGCTAGTTAGGGACTCATATATGAGTTTCATTTATGTTCTCGATTCATTGGTTTTGGAATGGTGTTCTGATCCCGGTGTTGGTACCGATGCAGCAAGGTGGTGAGGCTGTCCATTGCTCAGGTATTGACAGTAATCTCACAGAAGCAGAAGGCTGCACTGAGGGAAGCATATAAGAAGAAGAAGTTCTTGCCCCTTGATCTGCGTCCCAAGAAGACCCGAGCCATCCGCAGAAGGCTTACCAAGCACCAGGTAGATGTGTCCTTCGTGTTTTGTTTAAGTTATATCTTTTAACTGAAACTGCCGGCATTGCTGAAACTTCAAGTACATAGAGAACTAACAACTGCTTGATTTTTTGTGTCTACGATTTGTTTTTGGTATTTGAAACATTGATTACTTTGCTTGGCAGGCATCATTGAAGACCGAAAGGGAGAAGAAGAAGGAAATGTACTTCCCAATGAGGAAGTATGCCATTAAGGTGTAGGGTAGGCACTCTCATTCACATTTCAATAGTCCTCTACTTTCTAGTCATTTTGTTCGTAAAACCCGAGTTGTGATTTCGTTCGGTTTTAGCGTCTGTGAACTTTTTATCCATTGTCAAAAACCAAGATTCTGATCTTTCTAATCAAGTGGTAATTGATGGATTTTTGCATTTGATTTGCTTCTAAGATTATTAGCAATTTATCATAATGCCCGAATATTAGTTTTAAACAAAAAAATATAGCCATAGGATGAATCTAAATGGATGACTGAGATTACAATTGCATGCATTAACATTGTCCTAGAGAAATAGAATCACTTAAAGGCGATCAACAGGTCGAGGAACGGGTTGCCAACCTGTGCATACTTGAAGGACATGTTTCAAAGAATCCGAGGGAGCTTCCATTGTCCATGTTTTGTAATATCCACTTGGATGGAACATATTTTCACTAATGCCTGCTGGTATGCATGTTTGTGCCCCATTCAGAAACATGTCTCCTTTTGATCTTATCATGCCGGAACATGCCTCTTCTCGGCCGGCTGCCTATGTTTCCGACAAAAATCATCATTCGAAACAAATAGAGTTAAATGATAGCTACAGTTTCCCTTTAAAATAGAAACATAATGCGAAAAGCATATGGTGAAAGTGGAATGGTCAGTTTTGACACGAACACAATTTAGCTTGATGCGATCTTTAAGGTATAACAAGTTCGAATAAAATGATCGAACTTGATTTAAATTTAATAAAATAACTCGAACTCAAAGTAATCTAAATCTGGTTTAGCAAAAGATTGTCACCTTCTCTGTATAAAATTCGAAGGTTTTCTTCTTCTTTCTAGCTTCATATAGGTTGCATTGAGAGTATATCTAATCAACATGAAACGCACACAATTAGGGATCAAGTTATGCAAGCAATTTGAGTATGCAAATTGGAAGTGATTGAAACGGATGGAGGTATTAAGGGCATAGGAGAGACCCGTGCCTTGTATTTTTTTTTGTTCAATGACCATGTTAATCCCTTTAGTTAAATATTGTCAAATTAAATTCATTTTTAAATTTCAGATTAAATACCTTTTAGATCCCTATTAACTTTGAAATCAGGTGATTTAATCTCTTTCATTGTCTAATTTTGATTAGGGCATGGGCTAGGTTTTTGGGCAACCTGAATTTGAGTCGAATATTATATTTCTCCGCCCGCCATTTTACCCGAACCAAGTTTAAGGAGGTTCAAACACACACAACACGTACACACATATATATAATTTTTATTAGGTATGCAACACTCAATTTTTAGGCTAGTAGTTCCAGGTTTATCCGAGAGGTATGTGGACCTCATGGAATTCGTAATTAAAATAGTTGGACCAATTTGGGCTTAATTATGTTGGAATTGAGCGCAAATAACCATAAACATGGATTTTTGAATAGTAGAAAAATGAGGAAGCACCAAAAGATGAAATTGCACAAATCGAGTTAAATAGTTTTGTTCTTGTTGTTGTTTTGCTTAATGATGTCCTAAGATGAAACAAAAATTAAACGTTAGACATGACTTTGTAAAAAAAATAAAAGTTTAGGTATTAAAACGGACCAAACCTGAAAATGTATGTACTAAACGCATAGTTTAGCCTTAAATTTTGGGAGAAAGTTTGGTTTTACATGTTTATCGAACAGTCCTATAGAAGTGAATATCATTAAAGTTAATCTTTTTAATTTAGGATTTAAAATATAAGATTCAATAAAAACTCAGAAACAAAAGTGAAACTTGACAATGTTTCCTTAATTTAAGATTTGATAAAATCCCACTAACAATGTAAAAAAGAAAAAAGAAAAAAGCAAGACCACCAGAAAGGATGTTTCGTCACTCCCAATTCTTTATTCTTCCATTTCTTCGACCTTTTCCTTATTTTTCATATTTTATTTTGCTATTTAGGTGTCTAGAAGAACATTTTTATAATATTTTAACCTAATTTAATTCAGGCAGCTGTGTCGAGAGGACCAAAAAAATCGTATTAGATAAATTTTGATTCCATTTTATTTGAAACAATCAACTTTTTTGTGTCTAAATTTTTTAAATTTTAGTTAAATTTAAGTTTAGAAAAAAATCGCCTGAAATAATTATAAAAAAATCTTTTAATATTATTAGATAACTTTAATATATATAAAAAATTAGAATAAAATTAATACCCCCTACGAGTGTCTCTTAATAGTTCTAAAGAGGCAGAACAGTTGAGGTTTTATTATCTGATGATTGGTTGGAAGTGAATTAATAATTTAGCTCAGCTTTTACCTACTTTTTCCTCAATTATTGTACTATATGCTTTCGGCCTTTGAAGACAATAAAACAGTATAAATTAAGCATCAACGATTATAGGAACGTTTATGATTAAAATTAGATATTTCTTTTAATAAAATTTAGATCGAGTCAATAAAAAATCTGAATCGATATTTTAAAATGAAACTAAAATGAAATTAATTAAAGTATCTGGGGTTCTGGATGTACCCAGAAATCCAGGACCCATTGTTTTGTTAAAGATAATATATTTATTTGAATTTTAATGAAAAAGTAGTCGAACAAAATATTAATGTATTTAGTTTACTAATATAACATTAAATTAAAATATCATGATTTTAGTATCTTATACAATACAAAAGGAGCATTTTCGTAATTATATGAGTACGACAATCTTTACCTAAACAACAACAACAATAAAACCCTATTCCATATGCAATGAGGTATTGGGAGTTAGGGTAGTAGACTGCCCCCAACGCCAGATAGAGAGCAGCTTCCGACAGTCAGAAAATTAAAAATAAAGATAAAATACAATGCATGTATAAAATAAATAAATAAATACATAGTTGAACAGACTTTATATGCAGTCTTCATATGCGCATCTGTAATGAGAAGTAATCCCTGCAAATAAATCCCTGCGTAAAAATTTCTACATATAGACAGAAAACGTAAGTCCTGTCTAAATTTAAAAAGATAAAACATGAAGAGAATGATACACAGTAGTCAGCGATAGTAAGCTACGATAAGGTATAAAATCAAATGGGTTAAATCCTAAACTAAGGCAACACTACTCCACTACCCTAATTATAAGCCTTCATAAATTCCAATGACAGAACCGTATAAAAAGTAAAAGTCATAAAAATTACTACAAATACATTAAGAAAGAAGACATAGATGTTACACCCTATGATTGTAGCACACACTACTCGACTACCCTGATCTTAAGTCTCTATATTTTCCTGTGAGTAGATAATACGAAAGTAGATGTCTCATTGCCCGTCCCAGATTGATAAAAATGGATTAAAATTTTCATTTAATTATTGTTATAATATTCAGCCCCACCAAAGGTCCGGCCTACCTTCGGAAAATGCAACATTGGAAACTGACAATGACTATAAGCCATCACCAAGACTTCTTTATGACCTCATTTGAGACCGCTCGCAATGTGCAATGCCCCCCTGCATCGGACTCTCGATCTCGGCGTTCACACTGCTGCTCCGTCTAAGAAATTGCGGTGCTGGAAACCGTTCGAATTTGTGGACGAAGAAGAAGACGATGATGAAGTCCAGGACTTGTTTGTTGAAGAAAATCGTTTGATCGCCATCGAAAATGACCTCCTGTGCCCATAATCGGCCAACTTCCTCCCATTATCCTGATCGATTAGTCCCAATTGACTTTGTTTCGGTTTCGGAATCGGAATCGACGCTTTATTGCCATCTTTCACTACTGCGGATGACTCGTTCGAGCATCCGGATTTCCCGAAAAAAGCTTTGAGATAAGACCTGGAGGCCTTCAGCCTCGAGGTCAACTTAAGCTTTTTGGTCCAAGACTTCTTCGGGTTCTCGACATCTCCGACACATCGGCTTACATCCATCTCGGTCGAGTAATCGACCGGATTCAACTCCCTACTAACCGAACATGACTCACGAGGCGAGATATTACATGATTCAAACGGAGTACTCGTCGTAGTCGGCGTGGTGACGGTAGTAGTGGCCAATGGGGTGCCGTAGAATTCTTCGAAAATGCCATTTTTGCCGTCGCGAACCGACTCAAAACCCGGGATTTCCAAGAGGGGAAGAAGCTTGCCTTTGTAGAAGAGCTGATCAGCTGGAGAAGTTGTGGGCTGCCTCTCCATGGAAAGTGAAGACATTTGGAACTCAAACTCCCTTGAATTTCTGGGATTGCTGAAGAAGTTAGAAAATGAAGCGATTTCCATGTCTATGTATTCATCTTCTTCACTGGAACTCACTGCCATTTTCAATGTTTTCTAAGGTAACGATCTCTCGGTGTTGGCCAAGAGGTGAGCTTTGAGAAGAGAGGGAGGTGGTTGCACTCTTTATAGTGGTGATGCTGCCATGTAGTAGCAAGAAAATAATTCCAGTTTGATACATATTAGAACATAAATATTATTCAGTCCAGTTTTATCTATTTAATTTACAGAATCATAAAAAATGAGTACTCTGTATTAGGGTGGACATTTGATCCTAAACTAATTGGCTTTCACTCAAATCAATCGAATCATAATCTTTTAAAAGGTTCCACGTTAGATTTGAGTTTAGTGTTAAAAAACTTAATCGACCAGAGGTAATATTAACATTATCCCTTGTATATTTATTTATCTAACAAAAATAAATTTATGTATATTTATATCGGATCATATTGGAATGTGTATGCATTTTTATCTAAAAAATAAAATAAAATTTTGAATCAATAAATATCTCCTAAATTCAAATCAGATCAAATATAAATATAATAAAAATTTATTTCAACTCGATTCTTGACCGTCCATCCTTTATACAGTTACTTGAGACCGCATACAAGTCATTTATAAGTGAGAGTGACCATATTACTATAACTTTGGTGAGCTGAGAGCATCACCAAATCATATTTATATCAAATACACAAAGCCATCTCGAATATTTTTGGGATCCTGTGCAAAAAAAAAAAAAAAATAGGTCCTTGAAGGAAAATATACTCCATTATTTTAAATAATTAATTTAATATCATAGAAACATTATTAAACTTTTTTTAATATTAATTTCATTGTTTTGTTAAAAAAAATCTTAAATACAACTAAGAGAATAAAAAACTCGAATGTGGGTATAAATTATGATATGAAGCTTTATTCTGAATAATAAATTAAAAAAATAAAGAATAAAATATTACGTTATCGATAGATTGAGATTGGAGAAGACTAAGAATTAAAGAATATTTGGTAAATTGAAAAATAAGATTTGTAAAAAAAAAGACAAATATAATTAGATTTAATGCAAAATTAAATGAATTAACGAGAGAGATGGAGAAAAGGACGAGAAATTGAGAAATTTATGAAATTGTAAAAAATTATAGGCCATAATTATAAATGTAGAAATTGAAATTGAAAAAAAATAGGGGCATCAATTATAAAGGTATAATTGAGATCGAAAATTCTTAGGTGGCTCAATTAGTTAGAAATTGAGATTAAAAAAACTTAAGGGCCTCAATTATAAAGTTAAGAAAGTGAGATTAAAAAATTGTGGGTCTCAATTATAAAGGTAAAAAGTGAGATTGAAAAAAACTTAAAAGCCTCGATTATAAAGTTAAAAGTGAGATTATAAAATTAAGGTCCTCAATTATAAAGGTAAAAAAGGGATTGAAAAAAGTTACAGATTTCAATTATAAAGATAAAAAGTTAGATTGAATAATATTAGGACCTCAATTATAAAGGTGAAAATAAGATTTAAAAAATTAAGGACCTAATTATAAAGATGAAAAAATGGGGGCCCTGCTCAGGCGCTCCCCCTAATAGTTGGGTCTGCAAATACATACTCGTATTTAATGGCTTCATTCGAATTGAATATATATAGCACAAATCAAATAATTCTAATAGTTAAAAAAATTATTGTTATTTTTTAAAATCTAAAGTTTGAGCACCACATATATTAGGAGTATAAATGTTTATTATTAAATATTTAAATAAATATTAACTTGTATTCACCCAAAATTAATAAAAAAATTAAACATGTTTAATATAAAAGTATATTTATTTTTAATATTTATTCGAATTCGAATAACATAAGTGAAACATATAGATATTTATGGGATATGTAGGGCAAAAGGTTGAAATAAGAGAGCAGCCCGAATTTCAAAACCAGGTTTCAAGCATCATTTATTACCATAAATATTATTGCTGGAAACAACTTCTGTCCGCATGTGTGCTCTAATGGCTGCTAAAAGAACAACTAAAATAATAAAGGTAGTACTTTTATTTTTAGTAATTAATTAATTAATTAATTAATTAATTAATTAATTAATTAATTCATATTAAATATTATAAAATTATCACAAGACAATCATATCGATCTAATTTACTCCATTTACAACATTATAATTTATATATCGACTTTACTAAAAAATCTAACGCCTCCTAAAGTAGAAAAAAAAACGAATTTTTAATTCTAAATGTAAATAGATAAAGAATGTAATGACGGAGAGCATAAATGAACATGACATATAATTTATAAATAAACATGACAAACAATTAACTCATTTTTAATTAAATCTTGATTAAGTTAAAAATGATGAAACCTTATCTTAAAGAGCAATACCACCTCTCAACGCATTCATTTTTCATTTATAAGAATCGAATTTAAAATCCTAAACAGTGATAAATTTCTTACTACTCGATCCAAAAGACATTCATCATTAACTCTAAATTGAATTCATATAGAAATAGGCATTTGTTTTGTTTAAAAAGAAAGAGGAGTGGATGAGTTGTTGGCATCGGTTAAGAAAGGAGCAGATGAACCGACAGTGGAAGGTGGATGGCAGAATATGCTGTGAAGCTCGAGGCCTTCCATTTGCATCACACTGCTTTTCTTTTGGCATTCGGCTTTGGCTTAACCCTAACCCCACCCCCACACTTGCTTTAACCACCAATTTGTGTTTTCCCAACCCCACAAACCTATATTCATTTTACGGACAACCTCATCACATTTTGTTATTTATCAAGGTATTCTATAAATTCTCTCTTTAGAGAAAATTTTATTAAATTCGTTCATCGAGCAATATAATTTAATTTATAATATTTAATGTTATATTCCCAAAATGTACATTCAAATTTGTTTTTGCTCAAACAGAAATAACATTAATCAGATATTACATAATTTCTTTATTAACTATGGTTGTAACCGATGGAGGAGGAACATCAGAGATTATCTTGCCTAAAGATTGACCTCAACTTTTTTCAAACTTTTTAACAAAGCAGTCAAAAATTCATTTGACATGTCTTTGAATCAATCACTGATTAAACCCCGATCCAAGTTAATTTTTAAAATCCCATATTAATTATTACTAAATAAATATCAACATTAATTAAGAATATTTATTCACACTCTATTCACTTAGCTGGATAAATAAACCACCCTTCTCATACAATACCATTTTCAGTTCTTGAGATTTAATAATTACATTCAATTTTTTCCTTCTAAGATTTCTATTTAAATTTTAAGGTTAATTTTAACCAAATAATCATGGACTAAAAAAATATAGATAAAGTAAATACAGATGTAGTTTTATCTCAAAACAATTTCACATCTTAGTCTGTGCATGGGCAAACACCTACCCATGGACCGGCATCGGATAATTTAGTGACTCGAATTTCTTTTGCAATGTCGGGGATTTGAATCCCAACTTTATGAATGAAAAAAGCTGAATTAAAAAGATTACCTCACAATGAACCTCTTTAATGTATTCAATTCGGATTACTCAATCAATGAATATGATGGTTTATAATAAACCCTATCTTGTTTGCATACGGTCAAATTTGTAAAATCTTGCCATCGGACATAATTATGATAAACCCTACCTTGTCCAAGTTTATCCTCACATCTCTCTATTATTGAAACCATTTTACCCTACTATCCTTTCCCCCTCTGCGGTTAAGGAAAAAATGTGTCTAAAACAGGCAACAAGAAGAGTGTTGCTAGGTTGATATTGGACATAATTATGATAAACTCTACCTTGTTTAAGACCGTCTTTAGCAAGGCAGGTCACAGAAAATAACTAAATAAAGGAACCATTATTCGAATTTGAAATGAATATCGAATATAGATGTGTAGGGACTTTATCAAAGTGGACCGGAAGAGGGGCACCATTGCCGGCTATCCGGCCAACACCGGTACCTAACATACAGAGAAAAACTACGTACCAGAAACAGTACAGTTGCTAGAAAGAACCTTTTGGAAGAGATGGTGGGTTTGAGAAACTCTTTTCCTCCCATCCCCTACTAGGTTCTGTTGAAAGCTATGGCGGCCCCTGCAAAATGATGGTGTTATGCTAAAGAAAAGGCAAATCCCAAATTTCTATATCAGGACACCATTTTCATTTGGGAAACCCCCATTCAAAGCCTCAGAGTTCATCCACCTTCCTTTTTCTAGCGATGAATCTCACTTTCAACCAAAGCAATGTCCCGTGTTTTTGCGGCCATGCTACTCTAGTTTTCTCTTAAATTAATGGTGTTCGAGAAATTTTGGAAAATGAGTATTGTAAATATATATGAAAAAAACTTATACTAGATGCATGCCATATAGAGAAGGTCGGACCTTTGATATCAGCTCTAACCCAACCCTTTTTTAAATGTACGACCTACAAATTATTCAAGTTTGAGAAATCTGCAGTAAACTGTTAAGAGTCGAAACCCAACACAGATTCATGCTTTTCTATGAATTCCAGCATTACAGGTATTTACATGAGAATGAACAAATTTAAACCCATCCAATGTTACAGGGGAAACAGTGAAAAGCTTGATTCTAAGATGCAGCTTTTTTGGCAGGTTATATGTACACCGATACATGTCATACTAGCACAAGTGCTTGCCTATAATATCATCAGATAATTTTGAGCAATACTCCAACAGGTTATCTTACCTGATCTATTTGATTGGCGTAGTATCACCAGATCTCAGCTCCTTTTCAAGTTCATCAAACTCCCAATCACCTATCTCATCGGCTGAGTAGTCTTGGCTACCCTTCCCAAACTCCGACTCCAGCTTTGCTAATTCTGCTGCAGGGTCTAGCAGCAGCTGTGCTTCGGGATTATCCTTTGTAGCTTCAGGTTTAGGTCGTGTTGATTCCGGAGATGTCTGCAGATTCTCATTTGGAGTATCAAACTTTGGGGTCTCTATTTCCAGAGCTGGCCTTTCAATAGCTTCGAATTCTGTTCTTAATTTTTCAATGTCATTAAACAGCTCTTTAACCTTAGGACCACCTTTCCTGGATAGGAGACCGGAAAATGGGTTTAAAAACTTCATTTAGACAGAATTGTGAAAACAAAAGGATGGGGGTCCACAGAGAAATTGGAAAGGATGGATTTGCATGCAAAATGTATATATATCTAACCTTGAAAGTGTCTCATGCTTATAAAACTGCTCTTTCATGCTATCCACCACACTGAAGGTAGTTATAATCTGAAACAAGGAATCGATAAACAAATGTCTCAAAAACTGAAGGTTTGGACTGACTTGGAATTAAGGGGAGAAAAGGGATTAAAATGAAAGGTGCTTAAAACTAGTGGGAAAAGAAAAACATAAATTAAGCGATATACGGTTTTATTTTTATTGTCGCAAAAATTCCCTCTAAAAGAAAATAAACGAGTGGGAGCTAAATGTACCTTGGCTTCATAATCCAAATATTCTTCCTCAATATGTTTCCTTGGGTTTAATTCTTCGGAATCCTCACCACTTGGTTTAGATGTGTTCACTAATCTGCCATTTCAGAAACAAAGAATAAGAAATTGCAGTAAAAATAAATAGGCCGGAATTATTTAACTTGAAGGATACGGATTACTTTTCTTTCAACGTCTTCAGGTTCTCTATGAATTTACTGATACGACTGATGGCAGGGCTCAGCTCTTTCTGCAAAAAAGTAAAAATTTTCCAAGAACGATGCATGAGAGAGAGAGAGAAGAAACAAAAGTTACTTAACAACTTAGGTTCACAAAGTATTTCCTCCGTCAGAATGCATTGAATACCTTGTAACCAGAGAGAAGAGTAATGGCCAAGTTCACAAAATAATCCTCGTGTTGCTGCAATTCCTCACTGGAAATGCAAATAAGTATCAACCAAAAAGTTAACAGAATCCAGTATTGTGAGTATTAAATTAATAGAATCGAGAGCAGACTTCATACAATCACTTTCTTCAAACAAAAGAATTTGAAACCAGGCTCGATGAAGGAGGATAATTAGACTCATAATTGTCCTATCCAACAGAATAAAAGAATGTTAGATTACATACTCGACTTGCTTTTCCTTAGTTTCTGCATATGTGGACTGGATAACCCAAGTATCTTCTAAGAAATTAATCCATGTATGGAGAACTTCAGCTTCTACTCTACAAACAGAAATGGATTTTGAAAGTTCATCTTCCTGTTAACATATCAGAAAGAATTCTTAGCTATTTGAATTTTGAACCATAACAGTCACAAACCGTAAAATTATCAAGATGGGATAATTTATATGCATTATAAAAGTAATATAGAAATTAGGGAAAACACACAGACGCACACCTTCGTTTTCAAATGGGAAATAATCCGACTGTTAGCTTCACTAAATTGATCTCTTTCATCCCGGACATCCCGTAGACGTGCATTAGCAGCAGCCAACGAGATATTAACCTACACATATTCCACTGAAATGACAATGGGGTAGAATCCATCTCTTTACACAAGAGGTAGCTAAATCATTCTTATATCTGCCATAGTAATTGATTTCCAATATTTAGCACTTTCTACAGCATGAACTTGAAGGAGATTTAAAACCTAAACTTTTCCAAGCCGCCTTGTTTGTATGGTTTTATGGGAGTTCCACTACTTCATAATTTGAGATTGAGATAGTACTCACTCATTACAGATCAAGAGGAGCCAATGATCATTAAAACATATTTAAGTACTACAATGAAATAAAACATATGGATAAATCATTCTTATATCTGCCATAGTAATTGATTTCCAATATTTAATACTTTACCGATCACCCCCAAAAGTAAATAAGTATATAAAACTCTGCTTCAGTGAAGTATACAATCACCTCTAACATGTACAAGTATAAACAAAAGAAACAAAAGTTATAAGTGTGACAAATATGAAATGATATGCTATATTTGTAGATAATAAAAATAAACATTCAAAACCATGTTGCAGATTTCTCAACATGTAAGGAACAACTAGAAAAAGCATGCAGCAGAATAACCTTTTTCAGCTCTGCTTCAAGTTCATCTCTTTGTCTCTCGAGCACTGGAATCTCAGCAACTATTTCCTGGATTGTTCATTAGAAAAAAAAAATCACATTTCTCATCTAAAACATTAAATACACCAAAATTTATGAGCATATTTGCTCAGATCAAGCATGGTTTTCATTGTTTCCATGAAAAGCTTACAAAGTTTATGATGCTAATAAAAGTTTAGGCATAAGTAAACAATAAACCTTTAAAAGAATGAAACTATATCCTTTTTTTAAAAAAAAAATTACAGTACATATTATTCTTTTGGTATATATGGACATGCATTTGGCGCCTCAATGCTTAGGCTACATAAATGGAGGCTATCCCCTATCCCATAAACCCACATACTAAAGATGCAAAAATAAGACATACACATTGAGTCTTGTGTCCTAACCAATTCCAATGTCCCCTAGGAGACTTTTTGAACAGCATGTGATGGAATCTAACAACACTAATCACTGCTATACAGTGCCATGATGCATGAAATCATGAAAATAAATAACTACTCCTTTGAATGCCAATTTTAAATGAAATCAACCCGTAAATAATTTGATATGTTCCATATTAAACCTGCCATGTCATTAAGTCTTATTCTTAAAGGCACTGAATTGAAGATTTAGGATTAGGAAGTGTACACAAATCATCTGCAGTGGATCTAACTCAACTAGTCTTGATTTTAACACGTTTTTTTCATACAGATTAAGAAAACAGGTAGCTAGATATCAAATTCCAGAGACAACTTCTTGCAATATTGTACTCTAACCTAAATAGCAAGATGATAAGATTTTCATTTTTATCTAGCAGTGCAGACAGAGAACACATCAGTGCGAGTATACAACCTTCTCTTTTCCTTCAGCATCAGTTGCTTTAGACACACGAATAGCTAGCGCCTCCTCCTTCTGAAGTCTGCCAATAACAAAACGAATTACCAGTATGCAACTCTTAAATTTTTCAAGTAAATATTTTTTTTATAATTCTAAGCAGAATCAGTTATAAAGAGGTTCAGATTGCTTTATGTCTTGCTTCAGTGTTGTCTTCAAGGATTTCATCCAAAATCCAGCTATTCTCTTATGTAGAAGTATAAATATTCCAGGAAAGCATCCCAAGAATTCACCAGTGACGGGATTAAAAACATTTGGGCCAAATAGCATAACCCAAGGGCAACCTTTTCCTTACCAATAATAAATAAGATCAACAAGGAAATTTAAGTCAAAGGTCATACATAAGGCATAATAAATATAAAATCACACCAAAGACTTCAGCAGACATCCTTTAAAGCAACCATGAATTCTGGTCATCCGTTAATAGTATCGATCCATGTTTGCTTAACAATGCTTCATACTTCCTCAGACGTTCTCAAATAGGATACATCTAAAAAGGTCGTAGTACATTTCACAATTTCTTCACACCGAAAATAAATAGCTGCAAAATTTCTTATAGTACCTAATGAGATACCTAAATGTTAGGAAATAAAAAGAATCAGCTGGGACTGCTCTAACCCTTTAATATAAAAAAATGTATTAAGAGCTGTTAACTTTTTATCTAAAGTAACTGCATTGATAAAATCAAATATCATTCAGAATGACACTAAATTTTTTATCTAAAGTACCTGTGATCTGAAATTCGTTTCTCAGCTTTTGCACAAGAGCTGGCAAGAGATTCTGATAAGACCTTCAACTTATCAACCTACTCAAAGAAACAATATAAAGTGGCAAATTATAAAATGCTGCATCCGCGAAAACAGATACCCATCTTCTAAATTTTTAGCTTGAATTGCAGAAAGGTAATAAATACCAAATTAAATATTTTAGATAGAGGAACCAAACTTTAACAGAAAGCAGGTTGCTTATACATATTTCATGCTTATTAAAACATTATCAGGACACCAAATGTCAAGAAATTTCTACCTTAAGAGAGTGAAGCTCAGGAGAGTCTCCATTGTTAAAAGACTTCTTTCTCAGCAAAGTCTTTTCCAATGTTGAACAGTTTCGTATATCTGCAAGTGCTTCTTTCAGAGCCTACCACAAAGATAACGTGGTCAACTTTCATAGTTTCTTTCAGGGAAACATAGCCACAGTAAAGATCATTGAATGTCAATAATCAGAGGGTAAATCAAAATCATGAGTAGCTTCAAAAAATATAAATTTTCCATATTTCTTTGGAGAGGCATAGGCCTTGTCAACTTGATGCCAAACTGTCGACAAGAGCCCATTTAATTAGATATCAACAGAGCCTTATTGTCAATTTGTCATCAAATGTGTCGACATATTTAAGCTTATATTTTACTCTATATGTTATGGCGCTCGGAAAACCTTTAAATTTTTCTTATCTCAACTATGACAGTTGGTTTTTTGTTTCCAATACATGAATTATCAAGATGCATCAAATTGAGGAAGCTAATCAGATAAAAGTAATATATATATATAAAGTATTCTCAACAATGATAGTATATCATCATTCAGGTACCTACACACAATTACAGTGGTTTGGCAAACAAATAACAGATGCAACATTAAGGGGGGGGGGGTAAGAGAACCATCTAGAAAACACCCAGAACATGCCATTTTGTGGCAAAGGAATAGTAAATAACGTTTAGTTCGGTAAGCAATCCCGGTGTTTCTACTACATTCTTTTGAATTTTTATCAAGTGAAAACAGTCTATTCGACAAGTGACTTCTTGAAGTAATATATGCATGACCAATCATGAAGCAAAAGGAAATAATTCACATCAAACAATTTCAAGATAAACAACAAAATGAAACGGTATATTGTTCTACGAGAAATTTGATTTGTCTAGATTAAAAGCTTAACAGGAATCTTAAAAATTGTTTCCCTGACGTAATACCAGATTTTCTACCCAACACACTACAGCTTTCAAACTACTACAATGGATGAGCAAAGTTCTCTATAACTCAAATCAAATTTACTGCTTACCTCAATAGTTACTTTAGTAGAATTGTCATCTTCATTATCATTACCTTCTAGTGTGCTCAGCTTACTGAGTTTTTTCTTCAAATCAGAAGCTTCACTATCCATTCTGTCATTGGAGATAAAAGAAGAAATTTTAATTTCTCTTGCTTCAGCTAGTCAATCAAGCACCTCAGGCATCAAAATCCTAAAAATTTCAGGCAAACACAGTGGATACAGAACATGAACCAAAAATCATGGGAGCAATTCCTACCTTATTAAAATAGGAAGAGCGAGTAGATTTATGCTAACATAGATGCAAACTTGGCACGTGCAAAATATGACCAGATGTAAATTTAATTCACACATAACAGAAATTTCTTAGCTAGATATTAGAAGTTAAAACTTATTTTATGAGAGGAAAAATACAGTATATGTACAATTAGGAAAGAAAATTTCAATTAGATACTGGCAGAAGCTATGTTACTCAAAATCGGGATACGGGTATTACCCGACAAGGGTTATGCTCTACTTTTTTCAATATATATATATATTTTTTTTTTGATAGAAAGAGGCCTCATTAAAATCCTCCTTCAATCCCTCCATGTTATGAGAGTAACATGAAGGAACAACGAAGGAGGAAAAGAGAGCCAAGAAAACTTTTATTCACAAGAACCAGATTACAAGATTGAACAAACTCCTACACTTCAATATATATATATATATATATATATATAATTAGAGAATCATACCTGCATGCCCAGATCCATATTAATGTTGGTTATGAGTGTCAAACATGGGAATTTTAGGAAAAAATGAAGAGCCAAAGTAACATAGGTCAGAAATACACAAGAATTTGGAATTGTCAGAAACATGAATTGAGAACCCAAAGCCAAAGTAGAGAAAACATGACAGCAAAGTGTGCACATTATAATACAGGCTGAAGGCCAGGAAATGGAAGCTCTTTGTTTTGAACTACCTTAATAGATCTGCACTGATTTTCAACCCTGTTATGGCACTTTGAACAAACTGAAGCAGTTCCTCTCGCTTCACCTACAAATTACCATGTTTGAAAAGATTTTTTTTGGGGGGTGGGGGAAGAGAAATAAGTAAAATTTGAATCTTTCCAAATTGCATTCTAAATGTAGCATAGGTTTGACAAGTTACCAGCACTTCATCTTGGTAGCTAGAAAAGGCAGCAGCTAGATCCTGTACACTGCTGACTACAGCATTGTGAACCTCTTCTCCTCCAGTGAGGCAGAGCCTGCAGGCCTTATCATTTAATTGAACAAAGTTTCCAAAAATCCAATTTAACTTTCAGGCTAAATGTTCATAATAATAAATTATTTGTCTCACTTAACCAAGCAAAACTGACAAGAAGATGCAGAAACGGAAATCGTTCTTCATATGTTAGAAACAGTCAATTTTAAACACTGATGGAAAAACCTCAATGTTGGTGTTCCAGTTTATAATAAAGCAATAGTAATAAAGAGAGGATTTACCGGAGCATCTGTTGGAGCAGAGAAATCTCTTCCTCATTTGGAGCTTCAATAATCTGAATCACAGAAGAGATTTAACCTGCATTAACCTAAATGAGCAGGTATTACAAAACATAAAAGTGCCACTGAAAAGTTGCATGCTTTTTGGAAATAATAAGCTCTTTCAGTCATAGAAAAGATCGTTCAGTCTCCCAAATTATGAACATGGCTAGAGAAAAAATTACAGAAAATCAAACTTACAATCAATCTTACATGAAGATGCTCCAGCAGAAAAGGTAACATGTCTATAAACAACTTAAATTAGATAAATCACAACTAAAAGCTTTTTGATGATCTATGAAAATTATTCAATCATTAAAATTTCTACTGAATGATATTTACCTAAACCATGGAACCATTACATAGTGCCATATTGAGGTTGGTAAATGCATCTCTAAAGTTCTCATTTGTATCACTTTTCAAAATGTTTCCTCATTGTCAGTAACCCAATTTATCTAGTCAAAAATAGATTATTTTGATAGCACAGGGCATAGAAGTAGCTTCACAATTTACCACATTAACATTTAAAGAGTAAAGCTCTAGTTCTTGCATAACTTTAGACTAAGGACTGTTTCCAGTAAAGTCGGTGGAAAATCATTATTCAGTTATCAAAAAAAATGTCAAAAACTTCACCAGGTCCATGATAAAATATTTTCTTTTTTATTTTATTTGAATGATCTATCATTATTATTTATCATTTTTTCAGTACAAGATTTAGATCCAGAATGATCATACCACAAATGTTGACTTTTCCAAACTCTCATCTAATGCTTAATCATCTATAAAATTAGTCAATAACTATGCTAGCAAAGCATGGAAATAAACGTTTAAAAAGGTATATGAGATATTCAAGATTCTACATTATCTTGACAAATCATGATTAAAAAGAAAATATGAACAAATGACCAAGCTATCAAATCGTACCATAGATATTGTTATGAGCTCCAAAGCCTGGCTTCGAAGGAAAACCTCTAGAAAATTCATCGGTGCACCCCCAATATCAGAGTCATAATACAAAACCTATCAATCATTAAAAATAATCAAAAGAGGAAGTCATGGTACAACCGTACAAGAAACTTATTTGAAATGTAGCATAATTTTAGCACTTCAACCTATTTCAGGCACACAACAGCTAGTTAACGGCATCATTAGTTTCCAAATCCAACAAATAATAATGCACTTAAAACTTAAAAGGAAATATAAGGACATAATAATTAGGGATACTAAACTATTTAACCTAACTCACAAAAGAAACACAATAGATAATTTTATGTCAGACTACTCAGAAAAAGTAGACCTACCTATCTTCTTGTTGAGCTGATATTGACAAAAGCATATCATTTACAACTCAATAAGTAAAATAAGGCATATGGAGGTAACACCTAAGCCACTGCATATAATTTGTATTTTTGTTAGCGAATGGAATAACTCACAACTGATTGCCTCTGCAGGTTCTCCTTTGCTTCATCGGAAGCAAGAATTTGATCGAGGCTATTTTGACTGCCATCAGATGAAATTTCAGATAACTTCTCAATTTCTTTTAGTGCAACCAACCATCTTCTCAGCAGCATAGCTCTCTCAGGACTCCTACAAGAGATTGCTGCTTCCTCCAATCTTTTCACAGTTTGCCTTAAATTCTTGATACTGCGAGACCCCTGCATAACCATACAACTTAAGCAAGTCCAATAACAATATTATAAGATCCCACAACAGGAAAAAGTATCAGTGAATGTAAACAAGGAGGGGGGAAAACTAACTACTAGTGCATTAAATCAAGTGAGAAATACTAGCTGCCTTTAATATGATAACCAACTAGATCATAAAGCTCTTAATTAATACCATTTTACAACATTACAAGTCAAATTTAACATTAGATCAATTTTTCCTCTTAGCACCACTACTTGAAAGAGAAATTGCTAAATCCAATTAAATTAACATAAAGTACACTGATACGTACATATAGAAGCAGACCAGTGTATAGAATTTGTTCTGCCAAAGAGGGACATTTCTGGTATTGTAGATTAATTTTAAATCGCATTTTGTTGATTTAAAAAAAAATGTTTTTTAGATTAAAAAACATACATTTCATTATATTCTAATTGAACAGCCAAAACAGTCAAGCAGTTGGAAACCAAAATGAGAACACTAAAACTAAAATATCGCAATTTAATGATAACACACAATTTCTCACAAAATTACTCTAAAATTCCAAATTAAGAAAGAAGGAAAGAAATGCCAGCATGGATACTTTTCAAACTAGCAAACAATTTACCTGAAATGGCAACATACACACCTCAACATGTAAATAAATAATAGTTAAAAATGAAGAGGGAGAGCTTACAGTGCGATCTTGAAAGAGCTTGGCTCCTTCAGCGACAGCTTGGCCAGCATGATGAACAACAGTATCAGCATAGTTTTTTAGGTTTCGAGTGATGCTACTGGTGTTCCCAACCTCCACCGCTTTGTTCACCGCCGTTTTCAGCCACGACATTATGTTTCTTTTCTCCGATCAACGCAATTAGGGTTAAGTATTTTTGTTCGAGGGAATTTTAGGGTTTTGGAGATAAATAAGACAGAATTGGGGAAATGTTCTTTCAATTGTTTATTGTATTTTTGTTTCGGGTGACAGAGAAAAATGAAACCATGGGGGTTAGACAGATTGATGTGACGTCGTTTGACCCCGCACATGCTTCGTCCTCTTAAAAGTTTGATAGATTTTTTATCTTAAAATATTAATTAATTATAGGATAATTTCTTAAACGACAACCTAACTATGGCGTTTGTGTAAACATGGTCACTATTTTCAAATTTGAGTCAATATGACCACTTAACTATTTAATTGGTTTCAATATATCCACTCGTCGTTAATATTTAACAAGAGTGCTTACATGACAGTTAACAAAATTAGTATAATTACATATTTGATCTTCAATACTTGTAAATTCTATCAATTTGATCATAATTTTAATTTAATTTAATTCAATAAATTTAATCATCTAATCGGATAATGACACATGTCACCATTAGATTAAATGATATTTTCTATAATTTAAATTTATTTAATTATTTATCTTCCAACAAAATAATAACATATGTCACTATCTGATTAAAGAAAAATATTACTAAGAAAGATACAATAATAATGTTAGGGGGATTTTTGAACGTAGAACTTAGGGAATCAAGCACGCACACATTGACATTGAGTCAACCTCCATGTTTGGGTTATGTTTTATAGCATTTTCTAGTGTTTGTGTAACCCCCTCAGACCGATGCGGATAGTCCGATCCGATCTGGAGTGTCACATTAGGGCCACCGGAGCAACCCACCGAAAAAAATAGCGAAAAATTTAAAACTTTTCTTAAAACATGTAAACTCATAAATCTTTTATGAGTACAAAATAAAATTTATCAGTATTCGAAATAAAACAGATTTTCAGACTCATATATAAAGCAAAATACAATTACATGCCCCCTAATCACATGTACCATACTCTGCAAGCAACGTCGGAAGAACTCCCTTACTGATGTTGATAGTTGTACTGGTACAATATTTTAACCTGCAATGGTGAGTAATAGAGTGAGCTTCGGAAAACTCAGTAATACAGAACTACCAGATGATGCTACATGACATGTAGATAAATGGGAAGCCATAATTTCCTCATTGAATCAAACGTATACCAATTGTGGAATAATATAGGGTTCTATTAGTAGTTCATCGAGTAGAAGCCATGAATCTCAGTTCATAAGAAACCTTTCATACAACCACGTTTTCATGAGGTCGAATAGGATGTCTAGTGTGTTCCATCAGTACGATAAAATCATAATAGGTACACCAATCAAATGATAATTCAGTAAATCTCATAAAATCATAATGAAGTTTAACTTTTGAAACTCGTAGTTTAAATCATTCTCTTGTACACCATCCGCAGTTCCCAGAACTGTGTCCATAGGGCTTACCTTAAGCATACAGCGAAAAGGAAGCCAACCTAAGGATAGGCTTTGGGGCCTATATCCTTAAGTCCATAAGTCCGTAGGGCTTACCCTAAGCACACAGCAAAGGAAGCCAACCTAATGGAGCATATTGGGGACTGTGAGCCTACCCAAGAGTCACATTAGGTCCGTAAGGTTTATCAGCTCGGTCAGAGCTATACTCTGTAATTCAATCCATCCAAAATCAGTATTTTAAAAATACAATTTATGCAGTAAGCATAAATTTCATAAATCTGTAATCATCGTTATCATATATCAGTGAAAACCAATAATCATATATCAGTCATAGTCTATAAATCATCACCAGTAAGTGGTGTATCAATAAGCAGTAAACCATAGATTTCAGTGTACCATATTTCAAAACAGATAAAACAATTAAATAGTACGTAGGGAACACACTAGAGAATCCAAGTGTTTTTAGAGGTCATTGTAGTTATCAGTCTGGATAACACGAAACTTATGAAATTTGATCTGATTCTATGAACGAGTTCATATTGAAGTGAATCGATTAATAACCAATCTAATCAAATATTTAAGGTTGATATTTTCGAATCCCTCTATGATTCATATATCTCAGGAAAGTGTTCAAGTATGACCAGAGTAATTTGAGCTGATAAAGTAAGAACAAAGATTCAGGGCACTTACCATCCATGTCAATCGATCGGACTATCAACAACTCCTAAAACTGATGTATTTCAACTGGTCAATTCATTGTCCTTCCAGGGTATTCACACTTTAATACCAACAATTCTTGTTTATAAATCATCTTCAAAATCATCGCTGAATACATCTAAAGGAAGCAATATAGAATACAAATAATCTTTATTTCTATCCACATGGCAACAATATCACGAATTGTCAACGTATTTAATTCTTGGTTCATAACCCATAGTAATCATACATCATGCAATATCATTGGAGTTCTCAGACTCATTCAATCACTTACTAAATTCTCAGTCATTAAAGTTACTCATTTCTTTTAGTAGTCAAATCAATAACCCAGTTACTTTAGAATATTTCTGAGTAATTCAGATGCTTCCGCGTTTCGGATACATGTTGTACTTTCACTTAGTTCTCTTTGGGCATTTACTAAAATCATTATTTTGTGTTCGTGGTTGATTTATCTCACTAATATCCACTTCTTAATATCGAATGTGCTCTAACGTTAAACTGAGCTGAGTACTTCCATAATTATCATCAATCCCAATTTGAGAAGACAAACAAACATTCAAGTGGTATTTATGCCATTCATGTACTGACATAGAATTAACGTTGGTCGACCGACTTAAACTATGTTCCATAACTTTTTAAAAAAACATGCAACATCCATGTTTATTTGGATTCCTTAATGAATCCAATTCATTTACTTATCCTTGGTCATAAGGGTATTTTGGACATTTTTATGCTCAATGTTCTTCCATTTATTTCAAAGCTTGAGGATGTCCATTCATTCCTGGCTTTGTGATATTCTTTAACCATTTCCATTATAGGGGTATTTTGGTCATCTTACAGATTCAGTGTATTCCAATCATTTCCTTCCATCTGATATTATCATTTAATTCAAACGTATCATCTTTTCCAGTCATTTCAAACAACTCTGACAAAATAGCACCATTGATAATTTATTTTTCAGGTATTTACTCATAACTCGGAGATTTCCAGGTTAAAAGTCTTTTCAAACATTACTAACGAATTATTAGGAATTTCCATACAAAAGTAGAATCTCAACCATTAAATCAGTAATTTATCGGTTTAATTACAAATTCTCAGGTTACCTGCTAGTTCAGAGTCAACTTGGACTATTATTACCTCTCAAAGGTATTTTTGTAATTTCGTAACCAGATAATTTCGGTATTATCTCTTAACGAAAATAATATAATTTGGAAATTCTATAATTAATTGTTTTCCCGAACCTTCTCTGATCTTGAAATGATTCCTTAACAGACTTCTAGTATCTTGCATAAACCCTCTTGGGGTTAAAAACCGGTTATCTGCATTTCCTATACAAAACTAGCATTTCTTATGCACATCAGTAATTTTATCATATCAATATCTCTTTTCAGATTTATTAACCAACTTCTAGGGACAATTCTTGTCATCTTACAATATAAAGGTATTTTCGTAATTTTATCCTACCGAAGTATTCTAATAATTTCCCATCCAAGTACCTTTAATATTTAACCTTTGATGATATAAAACATAAGTTACAAATCCAGAGTTGATTTCTTTATCACCAATCACAAACTTGTAATTTAATTCTAACAATTTCTCAAGCTCTTATATTAGTCATTCGATCCGTATTCAGTTACAGAATTTCTACCATATTCATATCTAGTGTATAAATTATTCAACTCCACAAAAGTGATCAACATAATCTTATTCATGCATTTACCAATATCAACATGTTCCATAAAGCATAAAGAGGTAGTAAAATATTACCTCGATTTTCGTACAATACTGATCGACCATTTAAATTCCATTCGAACGCCCTCGATCTTTGATTCAACTTCCAATATTTTCCTCTCGATCCAGACCATCAAAATTACTAAATCGTATCCAAATAATTTTCCTCGCCATAAAGATAGCTTATTAGAATTGAAATAATAATTTAGAAACCCAATTAGTATAATAGAATACTTGTGGGGCTACTTTAATAATTAATCATTAAAAATAGGGATTAAACCAAATTAATTGCACTACTTAGTCATAAACTAAAACTAGAGGAAACTATGAGACAAGACTAAGTTCTTACCAAGCCCTGAGGACTCATGATGATTTTCCACTTATTTTAATAACCAACCACGTGATTTTCCTTTTTGGGAATCAAAACTCCATTTTTCAAATAATTGATGTGTGAAGCATTGCCACATAACTCACATGGAGTGTCCCTTGCATGCACCACTCTTAATTATTAAATCTAGTTGTATCATGTGGCAATGAACCAAAGACCAAAGCTATGGTCAACGGCAGCCACGAGTGCCATGAAGATGGCAGCATCCTCTATGCATGTTACGTGTCGCATGGCCAGTTGCACCGACGGTTTGCTGCTCTCCCTTTCCCCCGTGGACTTCTGCAGCTCATTACAAAGCCACTAGGGTTCGGGTTAATGCTTGAGCTTTCCCCAAAGCAACCAGCTCTCAGGCCTTAAAGCGTCGGAATGAAGAATCAACCAAGCTCCCGGGTTGGATTTGGCAACCCAATCGCAACCTATTGATGGTACAAAGGGCGTAGTTATGAAGGCCGCCGCAATAGCTGAGCCGGACAGATCGTATATCTTTACCTTCCATCATTTCCTTCCTCAGAAGAGCAGTACCAGAACCGATTTGCCTCACCAAAGAAAGATCAAACTTGTTAACAACAATCTGCTTAGCCATGGCAAGCACGATCGGATGCACAACCCATAAATGAGTTATTCTATACTTCTCTATATTCCTAAAAAACATCCCAAAGTCAAACCTGGACATTGACACCAACGAATTCCCCTTCTATAGCTGCCCGTAAGCTATAACTGCCAGCCCAAACACATGGAACATTGACAATACACACAAGTAAACCCGATGCATATTCCCCGCAAGTTCTTGATCCATGGTTACCATCAAAGCCGTTGCAATGAAATTACAGTGTTAAAACAACACC